AAAGGGATGATGCCAGAGCTGCCATGGGCACACGGAGAGGGCCTGGGGAGGGGGTCACTGCAGGATCCAGGGGCCCACACCAAGCTTCCCGCAAGCAAACAGAGTTTGTATGTACGCAGGTACAAGAGAGAAAACGGCACGTGAAAAGGGTCCCAAGAGGGAAGCAGGCACATGGCACCGTCCTTTTGAGGCTCAGCCCAGCAGGATTAGCCAGCGGGTGCTATGATGCCCCATCTGGGGCAATCGCTGCCTTTGGAGGGCCAGGCAGGAGAAAGGCTCCGCAGAGAACGTAGCCCACAGTCACACTGGAAATACAGGAGTGTCTCCAGCCACCGCCAGCTCCGCTGGCTCCGCACTCACCGATCTCCATCTCGATGAAGGCTGCCTCGTCTGGCAGGGCTCTGGGGATCACCCCGGGGTCGCTGAAGCTCGTCCGCAGGAGTGTGGCCATGGCGAAGAGGAAGAGAACGGCCGCGAACACGGGGATGGCTGGGGACAGCTGGACCGCCAGGTACCGGCACCTGCGGAGGAACGTGGGGAGGGATGAACCAGAGCTCCGCAAGCTCTGCCCCCGCCAGGACCCACCGCCTGGCAGAGCACCAGCGTCCAGACCTGTCTGAACGCCAGTTAGAGCTGGAGAAGCTGCTCAGCGCTTCCTTCTGACCCCACCAGCGCAGGGAAACACCCCTGGGGCAGCTCCTGCCCCACCGCAACCCCAGCGCGACAGAGGAAACGCCACGTGAGGTTGGTTTGCTGCGTAAATGCGGAGATGCCCAGTGAGGAGTTTGTGTGGCTAATCCTGCTGATGGAGGCGGTGCAAAGGGGACAGGGAGATTAATGTCACTGTGGTCCGTGTCACCACTGGACACCCGCAAACACGTCTCCGTGGGCACTGCAGCACGGGCACGCCTGGGCAGCAGCCAGGGTTTGGAGATGTACAGGGCTGAAACAAATGCATTTTTACCCCAATTCCTTCAGAAAACCCCATTTATGCTGGAGCAAAGTTCCTACAGAGCATCTCTATGGTTTAAGGGAAACCGCATCCCGATCCCGATGCCTGTGCAGGGTTTCACCTCTCCTGGCAGGCTGTGCTTTCCCCGGTTCCTCCCGCCGACGCCGGTACCCAGCCTCTCTGGTGAGCCCCCACTCCCCGGGGGGATCCAGCCCAGACCCCCGCTCCCCACAGCTGCTCTCCAAGAAAGCGTGAGGCTGCTGGGGTGAAGGGCACGGGATCACCCTCCCCAGTGGGTCTGCCATCCTAAGCAAGGCTGTTCCTACAACACCCAGAGCACTAACGACGTCCTTCTGGACAGCCCTTGGCTTCCCCGAACAGAACACACCCTCCAGCTCCAGCGGGCTCCTTCGCAGACCCGAGCTCTCCCAGCCCACCATCCTCTTCAGTTACACGAAACACCAGCACCCTTCGAGCTGTCCCCGTGCAGAGCCCCACCGTGTTCGGAGAGCCAGGGTCGAGCTGTCTTTAGGCAGCCCGAGATAACTCTGCTTTCCCTCTCCAAGGGCAAAGTCTAGAAAGAGAGCGGCGAGTCCGTCAGCAATTAAACAGAGACCTTGGATCCCATTTTGGGAAGGAAGACAGGTTTATTCCTCTAAAAGCCGGACACGGTGTGCCTCGTAGGGCTGAAGCTCGACCCTTGGCCAGCTGACGTGACAGCTTTTACAGTCGGTGTGACAACACGAACGTACCACGGGCTTAAAACACGTATTCCTGAACCGTGTCAAAGCCAAGCTGCAGCTGCACCGGAGCGTCCAGCCTCAGATGCACACTCACACTTTATGAGTTTCTTCTGTGTACTGTCAGCAGAGAGATTTATTACCTGCACGCACACGACCCGTGCCGGGTGCTCTCCCGGGGACAGACCTGGGAGCTCTACGCAGCGGCACTCAGTAGTAAACGGGATCCGTCCCTGCGGCGACCGGCACGGTCCCCGCTCCATCCCATCCCTGTGGTGACTGGCGCATCCCCGCTCCATCCTGTCCCTGCGGCGACCAGCACGGTACCGCTGCGACCGGCACGTCCCCACTCCATCCCGTCCCTGTGGCGACCAGTGCATCCCCGCTCCATCTGCACCCGAGCACAGCGCGGGATGTGACTCAGTCCCTGCTGACCGCTTCCTACGCGCCTCCGTAAGGAAACCTGCCCTGTGGGGACACGGCGAGTCCTGCTGTCCCCGAGGCACGGCAAGAGCAGCCTCAAGATTGGTGTCACCACGCGGCAGCACGTGGCATGGAACAGCCTGTGATTTTAGGGATGAAAGAGATGCGTGCGCTGTGGTAGGGACACGGCACTGTCCAGCCGGTATCCGGACATTCCACCCAGCTCCCAGCGTGGCACGGGACAGGCGAGGGGACAGCAGCGAGGAGGTGGGCAGGGGGAGGACAGGGACACAGCCCCAGGAAACACCAGGTGCCCGCTCTCCTCTCTGATGGAGAAAAGACACCTGGAAACGCGCACCAGGAAGCACTGACACCGGCATTTTCAGCCGCCATTCACCGAAGCACGTGAGACGTCTGCTCAGCGAAGCCATTGTCCTGTTGTCACCATCCCTGCAGCACAAAGCGAACATCCAGGTGCTGCACCCCGTCACTTGACGTGCCCTGGCACAGCCGCGGCTGAGCCGGGGCTGCGGCGTCCCCGGCACCAACACAGCCCGGAGGCGAGGTCGGAGATGTCTGAGTGAGACAAACCCCCAGGGCACTGAATCTGCGCCCCGAGACCCAGCGCAGAGCCCACCATGTGCCTCCCGCCCCTCCAGGGATCCTGCTTTGTGCAGAGAAAGCCAAGCACCGTCCGGACCAGCCAAGCCACTGCGCGAGGGTCTCGGCTGTGCTGGGGAGTCTCCGGTCTGCGCCCTGTGGTTACGCTCAGCAGTTCCTTTACACCGCGAAGTAACAGACATTTCAAAGAGCTTTTGTTTGGGAAAGCTGAGAGTCGACAGAGACACGCTGTTGGCGTGCAGGGATGCTCCTCGTCCTCCCCTCCCTGTGCGATATCGGTGATCTCGAGCGTTTAGTCATCGAACAGCGCACAATAACGGCACTGTCACAACTCACGGCATGGGGCGGGAGGGGGCCAGGGGGTGAGGAGGGCTGAAACAAAGAGATCATCAGAACAGGGGGCAGAAAGAAGCTGGGAGGTGCCACGAGTTCATGGCGCAAGGACGGCTTGGCCGATTATTCTGTGCCCGCTTCGGAAGGTCTGTTGTAAGCAGAGCTCTGGAGGAAGGGGAAAAGAAACACGCCAGCTCCATGGAGGGGACTCAGGCACGGCCACCAGGCAGCACACCTCACGGCCAGCTCCTCCAGGGCTCAGCGCCAGCTCTGGTGCAGAATCCATTCACATCTCACCTGCAGATCTCCTGTTTAACCTTCCCAAACCAACCCACAGCCGCACCTTGTCCCACGCGGCAGCGAAGCCAAGCCGGGTCCTTACCCAACGGCTGACCCTCACCAGAGCCGCCCACACCTCCCAGCCCTGGGACCATCTCCAGGAGCGGATATGTCTGCGGTGAGCTCTGCAGACCCGGGTCAGCACTGCGCCGAACGCTGCGAGTGGGGGGCCCTTCCCCAGGCAGCACCCGGGCAGAACCGGAGCTGTCTGCAGAAACTCTGCGTCCGGCAGCAGGAGCAAATGCTGGCTGGAGACCCAGGGCAAGCACTGCACGCTTCCAACCCGGCGGATGCAGCTCCCGGCCTTGGGCAGGAGACAGAAAACCCAGGAGCAGCCTCTTCCCGCAGAAATGCATCTTCACAGCAAAACGAGCTGCGCTCTGGGTACCAGCACGGCTGCCTCTGTAACTTTAACCCACAAAAAGCACCCATCAGCCTGCGTGTAAGTTTTGACGGTGCTTGATTTAGACATAACCAGAGGTAAAAACCATCTTAGAAGCTCCTGGTTATCAGTGCAGAATCTTGGATCTTTGGCGTTTGGGGAAAAAAAAAAAAAAATTAAGTCACATGGAGGTCAGCATAGTATTTTTCAACTCATCAGGAAACAAAGAAATTTTAATCTCTACATAGCTAAGAAAGAACAAAAAAATCCCGTGATAAAGGTGCTTGGTTACTGGAAAAGCAAACAGCAGCCCCATGCGCGCTCCGGAGCCTGGCATCGCCGGCGCTATCTGGGCTGTGGCACTGACAGACGCTGAACGTTCACGCTGAGCAGCTGAAGACAAAAGAAACCCAGTTCCCGGCAGCTGCTCTGGGGAGCGGGAGGGGAACGCTGGCTCAGGAGGGCCATGACAGACCTGAGCCGGAGAGAGGAGGCTCCCTCCCATCATCCCAGTTCTGGACGGATCTCCCGAGCGCTCTCCCTGCGCTTCTCGTGGGTCAGCGCAGCGCCCTCGCACAGCAGCTGACGCACCCCCCGAGTGCCAGAAAGCACGCCAGGAGGAGAGCAAACACAACTTTATGTGCCACATTATGATTTTAGAGCAGACCCCATTAAATACAGGTCTCGGACCCCGCAGGGACCGGCCTCAGCCCCGGAGCAGTGGGAGCTGCGTTGTGCCGCAGCAGCGGCCAGACGTGCCCTTGGGCAGAGCATCTGGGCTGCAGAGCAACTCCCCAGGGCCAGCACGGCTCCACGGCCCTCTGCTCCACCCAGGTACAGCTCTGTCACCCCTCGGGGTCCTGCTGGCTCCCGGTGACAAGGCTCACACGGTTCGGGGGGTAAAAACGCTGAAATTCCTGCACACAGGGCTGAGGCGGCTTCGGACCAACAGCAGATGAGACGACGGCGCCGGAGCTACGTGGAGGGGAAAAAAAATAAACCAAAACCTGCCAGCAGCAGCAGCCCAAGCAGCGAGGCTGTCTGTCAGCGCGCGGCCAGGAGGGCTCTTCCAGCAGCGGCTTATCTCGTGACGCGCGATGCCAGCCACCACCGGCTCTCCAGCACCGGCGTTTGTAATCGGAGCTGAGCCAGCGCAGCCTGGAGGGCGCGGATCAGACCCGCGCTGGCTCGGATCGCGTCGCCAGACGTTTTTCTGGCTTCAGGCATCCCCGCGCCGTGCTCAGACAAGGTGTGACTGCGCAAGTGATTCAGCTGAATGAAACAAGCATCCACAACGCCGGCACCCCTGCAGTGAGCGCGCAGGACCGAAAGCGCTCCTCCTCCTCCTCCTCCTCCTCTGTCTCTGCCGCCCACCAGTCTGCTGCTCTCCAAAACCAGGTCCCAGCAACCCCAGTTGTCCCGCTGTTGCACAAACTTTAAGGGGGAAACCACAAATTTCTGTGCAAATGCAAAAGAATCTGACAAAAGCCGAAACAAATGGGTAACACGGCGAAAAGATCGAGGCTGAGAGCCTCACGCAAAAGCACCCTGACGCACGCCAAGGGCACACAGGGCTCTCCAGCAGCCGAGCTGCTCATCTCCTCAGCTTGGCCGGTGAAACAGACGCTGTGGAGTGTTTCTGATCGGGAAGGCAACATTTCATCCCCATCCCAAATGCAAAAAACCCCCAAACCACTTTCAACAAACCCATCCCCTTCAAACAGGAAACAT